AGTCTTCTTGCACAGTTTCCTGCTTCATCGCCATTGCCCATCAGTCTGTGAAGAAGGAAAAATGTGGAAATGTATTGCTTCACCTGTGCCAAGCCAGCCAGGATATTTTTTAGTCCCTGCAATCTGGGACTTTCCAGGTTTTCCGGGACAACTGGCAACCCTAAATCGAGGTTGAGAGAGAATTAGGACCCCCTGGTTTCAGGAGCAAACCCCATTGTGTCCAGATGGAGGGCTATATCCAGAGCAACGGATGTCATCTCCAGCTCCACATATAAAAGACACTTTTTTGGAAAAAGAGCTTTCCACGATCAGACAGACTAATGGTCTCTTGGCTGAGCAGCATTTTCAGCCAGGACCATCAATCTAAATGTTCTTTGCCCTTATAGACAAGAATGAAGAATTTTGAGACCTCTGCATGGTTCTCAATTGCTGTTCACACTTTGAGATTTGTTGCCTTGGGCAGAAATACACACCGTCTGTCTTGACAGAAAGCCTGTTCCTTGCATAGAGAAACTGTGTGCTGTGCTGGAAACGGGGCTTTTCTGGACAAAATATGCCATTTCATGTGCAAAATAGCTTCTCTGCATAGAAAACTCACAGCCAAGAGCCTGCGTTGTCAGTGTGCGGTACAAATCTACACTCAAGGAATTTCCATGCTTTTTCATTAGGAACATTTTTAGGTGGTGTTTAGGTAAAAGATGCCAAATGCAGCCCCATTAAAAAAAAAAAAGTTTTACCTTTGTTGGGGGTAGAAACTTCAAATAGGAGAGTCCCAGTTCATTAGTTCCCTCTTTGGCATTTTGGCATTTTCCTGATACAAAAGCATGGCAATTTCTTGAGAAATTCAGTGTTCTCTGCCTAACAAAAGGGTTTGTAGTCTCACAAAGGACTGAGACATCCTGGATCTCAAAGGAAGTGTCTTTTTGTGTTGCTAATGGGATTTAAATTTTATTTCCTGGACTTTAAAATGATGTATCTCCCAGTGGTCTGCAACATGTATTAATGCATTTTGGTTGGCCTGTTTTGTGGATTTTGGGAGTTATTGTACAGTGCAAAGAGAGTGCATTTTTCACAGTAGAGGATTAGTTAATTAAATATAGTCCTTGTAAGTTTCCATGATACACCGAGACTTTCAGGAAATGTCACGAAGCCCAGGACAAATTATTTCCCGGCGAAAGGCCATTTCCGGAAGATGGATTACCTGTGTTTGTGAGTCCTTGCTTTGCCAGACTTTAATCTAAAGTGAATATTTGCATACCACAAAAATATACCTTCGAAAATCCCCTCCTTGCTCTTCATTATTTCCCGTTGAACATATTTTTTTAACATAGTGAGTTATTGCGCTTGCCATTTTACATAAATTGACTATTTATGGAAGTTTATTCCCCATTTCCACTGTTTGATCATGCATGCCGTATTTTAATAATGAAACTTCTCTTTATATATATTTAAAATGTCAGCATAAGCAACCAAGGTATCCAACGCTTACATATCATTTGATATTAGATCATGTTCATTTAACATACAAAGACATCCTTTATCTCAAAAGAATGTAAACTCTCAAACCCCACAATGGTTTATGAGACACTTTGCAGACAAAACATACAGGAGATTTATGGTGACCTGATGGCTCAGAGGTTCCCCCCACAATTCATTGCTTATCCTTCTAATCTATTCCTCCCCACTTCCATCCCACCCCATCTCTGCCCCCCTTGCCTAATCCAGTTTATAAATCCAATAGCAAGGTAACGTGATGTAGTGGTTTTAATGTTGGAACAGGACTACGGAAAACAGGGTTCGAATCCCCTTTGATCGGCCATGGAAACCCACTGAGTGACCTTGGGCAAGAGTTACACTCTCTCAGCCTCAGAGGAAGGCAATCAGACCAAACCTCCTCTGAACAAATTTTGCCAAGAAACCCCCCAGATAGGTCCACCTGAAGGTTGCCAAAAGTTGAAATGACTTGAAGGTATAGAGCTAAATAAAAATACGTCATTTAATGAAACTGGAGTTCTCTCTGCTGTTAGTACTGGTATACACTGGTTAGAAGATCCCCTACAGTTACCTTCCTCTCACAGGCCTTTTGAGCTATATTCCCCCCAAATTTCAAACAGGCACTGTCATTGCTGGTGGGGACCCCCAAGGTCCCCCACCTTTTGGGGTAACACCAGCCATCAAAAAATAGGGGGTTCCCTCCTACAACTGAGTTACAGTATTGCTATGGTGAGGCAGCAGGACCTCTTCCCAACTGTTTCCCCTGCAAAACCTTTCCACTTCCATGTCCATGCAACAATTAATCTGTACTCTGAACATAAACAGAGCTCCTAAGAAGCTTGAACCATTTTGAAGGGATTGGGTTCAACACTGTAGAGAGCTCCTTTGTTACCAAAAAAAAAAAAAAAAAAAAAGGTTGGGGGGTCTGGGGTCCCCACCAATGGTATCAGCATCTGTAAATGTTTGAGCCTGCCTCCCCTTTAGCTCAAAGGACACTTGCAATAGGCTGGGTAACCTGTGGATCATTTTTAACTAGGTGAGAGCCAGCATGGCATAGTGGTTTGGTGTGTTGGACTGTATCTCTGGAGACCTGGGTTCAATTCCCAACTCAGCCATGAAACCCAATGGGTGACCCTGGGCAAGTCATACTCGCTCAACCTCAGAGGATGGCAATGGCAAACCACCTCTGAAGAAATCTTTCCAAGAAAACCCTAGGATAGGTTTGCCTTAGGGTCGGCATAAGTCAAAAACGACTTGAAGGCACACAACAACAAATACTGGGACGAATGTGAGATAACTCCAATTTTTATGAAATATAGAAGGTTTTATTTTGAAATAAAAGTACAATGCTTACACACAATAGTAATTCAGACAGACACAGCATACAGAGCTAACCAAAAAGAGGTATGGAAATTGGATAGCAGAGGTGAAGGTTATAGAGGCGGGTGATATTTACCTGTCCTGCAGAAGAGCCCATGGAAAGCAGGGAATGGCTCAGACAGCATGTGAAGGAGACACAGTGAGTGAAGGAGACCCTCTGTGCACACCTGGGGCTGGAGCTGGGACTGATATTTATACCTGATTTCTAGCCTCGAGGGGTATTTGGTCATATCTTGGAGTGGGAAAAGCTGGCTGGGGCAGCTGGATGATGCAACATCTGGAAGGTTGCAGAATGGTGACAAACATGTAGTGTCATTGTCACACTACTTAGAGTACATGCCCAGGATGACTGAACAGGGAGCAATTGCAAGCACCTGCGCAAGGAGATCATGCCATGGTCAGTGTGTATAAATATGGGCATAACACTATGGCAGTGTGGGTTATTGTTTAGTAGTGGTTGGCTGGTTGTTGTGTGTGTAGTGCTGTATACACTTGGTAGTAAAGTTCTATAAAGAGAAACTTGGAGGCTCTGAGTATTTATTTAGCACCTTGTGCAGTAGTAGGTGCCTGCAGCACTACAGAGCCCAGCAGAGAAGGACCACGAGTGAGTAACAGTGAAAGTGCGTGGCTCTAATGGTCTCCTCATGGAAATGACAACGGGGTTCCGGAACGACTGATGGCTTTACCTTTGAATAGAGAAAACAGTGATTGGATTTAGGACAACCCCAATGTAGAGGATAGGGAAGTTGGCTGGGGACACAGCAGGGGGTAGGTAGGAGATCCTAGTTTCCTAGCTTTGGTGCAATGAGACCTCCTTTGTCTCTTGGTGCCAGAGGATATGCAGAGAGCCTGGGGGAGGACAGAGGGATCAGCACACCCGTTTAGCCTTTGTATGTCCTCAGGTCTGCGTTCCTTTTCCATGGGAAATTTCCCTGTGTTGCAAAGGTCATTGTGACCTCTTAAAAGATGCCTGGCTCTAGACATGATAAATATGAAAATATGGAGAGCCCCATCTGCAACACGGGGATGCAGGGTGTGCTAACACCTTTAAAGTTTGGACTGGAGGACAGAGTAAGTCCACTGCCCCATGAACATGGTTACCAGTAGTGACTGGCCACTGCTTGTGAGGTCAGAATGGCCAGCCTGCCCCATCTCTGGTTTTACCCCTAAAATCCCAGGGAACAGAATGCTTCTGGTCAGCCTCTTGGGCAAATGTGGCAACATGGCCTAGAGATAAATTGCTTTAGGCCAATTTATCTCTGGGATTCTCTACCACCAGAGAAATGCTCAACATCTCTCTCCATCATACTGTCGAAGTGTGTTCCACCACAAGCCAGTAGTAGTATTCAGTATGTGTATGAGAAGATTATTTTGCTGAAAGGTGCAAACTGCCACAATTTAGACTTCCCAGTGTGGAAATCAGAATTCAAACCCCAAGCAGAACAAGTGAATAAAAGGCCCAGTGATTTTAACATTCTTGTGTCTTCTTTTCTTATTAGCCAGCCAGTTTTGTCTTGCCAGAAATGACTGTGCTGCCTTCCATCTAAATAGGTTTATGGAACTCAAAACTAGCCATCACTCATGCCCTTGAAGTCCCAGCATCCCCAGTGACGCTGCGACCCCAGACCAGTCTGAGCCAAAACACTGACCGGTTCACTTCCCTGCTGCCTCTCAGACAGGGTCCATCTTCCAAAGTAAACTCTTCTGGAGGGCTTTCCGGATCTGCTTGGACTTGATGCTGTATATGATTGGGTTTAAAGCCGGGGGCACAATAAGGTAGATGTAGGCAACGATGCTGCTCACGATGGGAGGGGTGTTCTTTCCAAAGCGGTGGATAATGGACAGGCTGATCATGGGGATGAAAAAGATGAGGACGGCACAGATGTGAGAGGCACATGTGTTCAGAGCCTTCAGGCATTTCCTTTTGGTCCCCAGTTTCACAATGGTCCTGATGATCAGGACGTAAGAGAGCACGATGAAGACGGAATCGACGCCGGCGGTGGAGAGGATGACCACCAGGCCGTACGTGACGTTGACGCTGATGTCCGCACAGGCCAATTTCATGATGTCGGAGTGGAAGCAGAAGGAGTGGGCAAGACGGTTGCTGCTGCAGTAGGTCAGTCTCTTGAGCAGGAAAGGGATGGGGAGGAGAGAGACGGCCGCCCTCCCCAGAATGGCCAGCCCTATCTTGAGGAGGGTAGCTTTGGTGAGGATGGCTTTGTACCGCAAGGGCCGGGAAATGGCCACAAAGCGGTCAAAGGCCATCGCCAGGAGCACCGAGGACTCCAGGACGGAGACGATGTGGATGAAATACATCTGGGCCAGGCAGGCGTCGAAGCCGATGGTCCGGATGTCGAACCAGAAGATGCCCAGGGTGGTGGGGAGGGTGCACAGCACCAGGGCCAGGTCCGTGGTGGCCAACATGGAGAGGAAGAAGTACATGGGCTCATGGAGACTCGGGGTTCTCTTGACGACGAAGAGGATGGTGCTGTTCCCCAAGAGGGCCGTGAAGTAAAAGAGGCAGAAGGGGATGGAGATCGCTTTATGGAGGTCCTTGTCCATTCCAGGAATGCCGGTCATAAAGAACACCGGAGGCTGGTAGAAGGTGGCGTTGGAGGCTGAGGCTGAGGGGGTCTCCATCCTGCCCCAGGTGCTGCATGGCCTGGAATGAAAAGAAGACCCGCTCTACGTTATTCAGCCATCTTCATAATGTAGAGTGTGTCCAGTTCTGGGCCCCACAATTCAAAAAGGATGTGGAGAAACTGGAACTGTGTCCAAAGGAGGGCAACTAAAATGGTGAAGGGTCTGGAAACCATGAAGCCCTATGAGGAACGACTTAGGGAGCTGGGGATGTTTAGCCTGGAGAAGAGAAGGCTGAGAGGTGATATGATAGCCGTGTTTAAATATTTGAAGGGATGTCATATCGAGGAGGGAACAAGCTTGTTTTCTGCTGCTCCAGAGACTAGGACCCGAAACAATGGATGCAAGCTGCAAGAAAAGAGATTCCACCTCAACATTAGGAGGAACTTCCTAACAGTAAGGGCGGTTCGACAGTGGAACACACTCCCTCGGAGAATAGTGGAGTCTCCTTCCTTGGAGGTCTTTAAGCAGAGGCTGGATGGCCATCTGTCAGGGATGCTTTGATTGGGAGTTCCTGCATGGCAGAAATGGGGTTGGACTGGATGGCCCTTGTGGTCTCTTTCAACTCTATGTTTCTATGATTCTATGACTTCCACACCAAAACAATCAACCCCAACCCCAAAAGAGCCAAGGAGGTGGCCAGAACGGATGGATTGACATTTTTAGTCATCTGAAATGATGGCCTTGTTGTCTTCCAAAGGATCCAAAAATTGGGCCATGCAACCCTCCAGTCTCTGGAGAGCACGCCCACCTCTGCTTTGAAACCTGGGCACCCAACTCCACCAATTCCTACCTGCTCAGAGTGACCTGACATCCTCCTTTTCCCTGACATGTCCTTCATTTCAACCTATCCAGGAGGGATTCCAAAACGTCCTCCATTTTGATCATGACTATGAAGCATGACTTGATATTTAGATGAGTATTTGTAGCTTTTATTTGGTGATGTCCTGCATTTTTCTGGATGGTTCTACATTTTATGGTGCCTTATTCTCCTTTGTGTTTAGGGCATCTAGTCACCCAGCACCCGCTGCCAGGGCTCTCTGCTTCAGCACAAAGGGTTATGCATGTGTTTTGAACCCAGATTCCTCCCATGCCCCTTCCCACCATCAACTGGTCCAGAAGCAATTCCTGCCTGGCTCCTGGTCTCCATCTGCCTCTGTGAGCCCACAAGGGATGCATGCCCCTTTGGCATCACAAGGACTTTCCCATCCCATCTCCGACGTTGGCCCTGAGGTCTCAGGGAGTGGGATCCTCTTCGGATTAGGAAGAGATCTGGAGCAGGGATGTGCTGTGCTGGGTTATTGCCCAATGCAAGTGAGAACAAATAATGTAATCTATTTTCATAGAAGCATAGAAGCATGGAGTTGGAAGAGACTCCAAGGGCCGTCCAGTCTGACCCCATTCTGCCATGCAGGAACTCCCAATCAAAGCATTCCCAGAGAGATGGCCATCCAGCCTCTGTTTAAAGACCTCCAAAGAAGGTGACTCCACTACAATCTCCATTGAGGGAGGAGTGTGTTCCACTGTTGGACAGCCCTTACTGTCAGGAAGATCTTCCTAATGTTGAGATGGAATCTCTTTTCCTGTAGTTTGCATCCATTACTCTGGGTCCTATTCTCTGGAGCAGCAGAAAACAAGCTTGCTCCATCCTTAATATGACATCCCTTCAAATAATTAAACAGGGCTATTCTTCCTGACATCAGATGTCTTGAAAAACTAGTTTTTGAGGAGGTCTCCAAGCCTCCAGCAATGGGAATTGGGATCCCCCAGGCTTGTCCCTATGTAACATTAGGGGTGCTGGGTAGTGATTTGAGTATTGGACTAGGACTCTGGAGACCAGGGTTCGAATCCTGGCTCAGCCATGTAAGACATCTGGTGCAGAACAGAGTACAGGAGGCCACCCTGATCTGAGTGTTAATAAGTAGAATCATAGAATCCTAG